CCATTCACAGCCAGGGGCCCAGCCACCCCCTTCTTCCTTCAGTTAATGAAACCAGCATGGGGATCCTAATGACTGATCAAAGCCCATCTAGCTTCCCCAGGATGCCTGCCCCCTGGGCCCTGCTTGAAATGGGGATGGTGTTAGGACAGGGAGGGAAAGAAGGGGCAATAGACACTGGACCATCCTCCTGATGAGGCTGGCCCTGACTCTAGAATTTTCCTTGCAAGCGGAGGTGAGATAAAAACAACTTGACCCAGACCTCAAAATGCAGTCTCCCAGGGTCCTGGATGAATTGTGAGAAACAACATTTGACACAGGGTCCCAAGCAAACACTTGATTTCCTTGTGCAGTGAGCTCACCAAACTGGTCTCCAAGTAAGAGTTCTGACTTTGCCTGCTTTGCCTCCTTCTGGTCAATAATGAGGCAGCATCCTTGGTGAGGTGGCAAAACCCTCTGGATGTCACCCAAGGTAGTAAGTCTACTCGATGAGTCTCATTGAATCACACTATGGAAGCACCTACCTACCTACATATTAGTTTGTTCTGACTGTAAACTATTACTTGAGTGTCCAAGTTCATAAGGGGCTATGCCTAGTGAGTCAGACTAAGACTCACTAGGATTTCTGCTTTTAAGTCAAATAGTCCTGTGGTCTGACCTGATGGGGACATGCAGACCGAAGAATACAACATATTGAATACACATGCAAATAGACCAAATAACGTATTTTTCTTGCTTATAAACTAAGGACGAAGATAATTTTTGGAATGGTAGGTATGTGTCTATGATTGAGCAGGCTTGGGGGTGCGACAGTAGGAGATTTTTTGTGTGGGTAAGGTGAAGGTGGAAGAGCCGTTCCTTCACTAATAAATCAAAATGATTTTGCTGGCATTGTTGCTGGAACTACAGAAGAAAGAACTTGCTTGGTGGATGTTGCTGTGTATGGAATGTTACAGGAAATGGAAGAACTGAATGACACTTCAGAGGTGGAGAGAGATTGCAAGAACGGCTAATTTGCAGAAGTAGATTGCCAGGGCTTTCTTCCTAGATTGCCTTTGTCTGGAAATTTTGCTGAAACCTGTCTACTGTGGGTGACCCTGCCAGTATTGAAATATTGGTAACATAGCCTCCAGTGTCATTAGACAGTAGAGGACACTGCTATTCTGATGGGAGAGAATTTAATAGGATCCCATCAGGAGGAAGAAGTAGGCTGTATGGAGGGTTCCAATGGGTTCTTACTTAAGTACTTTGTAAACTTAGTCAGTCTTCAGTGCATAATAAACACAGTGACATCCTTACAAGTAATCACGGAATTTCCCCAGGATGGACTGAAACAGATCGGAGGGGCTAGAAGCTCTTTGGCCATCATACCATTTGGCTTGTGCCCAAATAGCATGTGGCCATAACCATTAAGTCCTTTTTACTAAAATGAGAAGAAAAAAAAGCCTACCTCATTTTTAATAACTTTATTCCCTAAACTTCAAAAATGAAATTGCCAAGTTAAGAATTTCCTTTGGAAAAAAAAAATTCTAATTTATTATAAAGAAGGTCCGGGGCTTGGGAATTTTTTTAATGCAGATTCCTAATTTTCCAAAGTGAGATTCTCCTGTGCATTTGAATAGATTATGCTCAGTATTGCTAGCCCTTAGCACTACGGGAACATTATTAAAATGACTGTGTAGGTCTCAGAGGAAGGGCTGTGCTTCTCTCTTCCTATTCATTTTGGGGGCTTCATGTCAAGGACTGTCCATTTCTTGCCTGTGGCAGAAACTGGGTTTCTGAGAAGGTATATAGAGATGTGCTCAGCTATCTTGGATTTGGGGAACCAAGACGCATAGGGTTCAAAAGCAATGACATTAGATCTGAAGGAATGAAGAGGGGATAGTCTTATTCAGGAAGTACTAACTTGAGATCCTCTTTTAAGAAGTGATTCCCCTGTTGCCAGAGCCATGTTCCTATTAGGCGCTGCTTTCCTGAAGACACTGAGTGATGGAGAGCTGCTGCTTCTCTAGGATAATGAACATCATGAAGGAAATGGAACAGAGCTTTCCCCTGAGAGGCTGGGGCCAGCCTCTTGAAAGAATAAAGAAAAGGAGGCAGGAGGACCAGGGCAAGGTCCTACAACAAAATTCAAGTGACCAGGCATATACTGAAGGGTCATTCCTATGAGGGAGTCATTCTTAGAAGGCCTACAGAATGAGAAGAAGGGCCCTCAAAAGTCAGGGCAATTGGACTCAAAGTCCAGCATTCTCTGGAGAGAACAGCTTCCCCTTACCCCCACCCCCCATGGGTCAGAAGTCTACTCTGGTGACTCCACCATCTCCTCCATCCCACCCACTGCCTCTCTGCCCCTAATACTTTATTTTTATCCTCCTACCCTGATCAGTTTCTTGGGGACCAGTTCAGCTCAAGAAAGACCAATGGCAATTGACTTATAATCTAGCAACCTACCCAGGGCCATGAAGACCCTAAGACCTTGGCCTTCACTGTGGACACTAAGGCTTCTTGTCATTCCTAGACCTCTGGGAGTATAAGCAGATGTGTGCCTTTCCTAGGGTAAATATTCCTTTATTGCAAACATGAATATTTTCAATGGTGAAGTCCTGATGTGTCCTCAGAGCAGGGAGCCATGGAACAGTCCTTGAATCCAGTTTCTGCTTTGAGGTCCTTGATGGGGAGCTGAAGCCTCCTTCTCTTCCCCAAAGGGCTAGAGGTGGCTTGGGTGAGTGGGGCTGAGCACCAACTGGAATTTGTTAAACGAGTCGTATGCTGAGCATTACATTAGGCTCCTCTACTTAACTATACCCCTCCAGTATTCATGGGCAGCACAGGCCCCTACTGCACCTCTCCTGTTAATCTTCCCAAACCAAAACTTCTCCCAGCTGCCAGGCAGGCAAAACAGGCGATGGGAGGGAGGCAAAGAGGGAAGTAGCAGCTGCCAGCTGTGTCACTGTGGCATTCTCTGACCTCTTGGCCCTAACCTAATCTATCACTGGGCTGAGGTATGGGGATGTGGACCTTTGCACCCACCACCTGCTCAGTATAGAAAATCTCCCCATCTCTGTTCCTCATACCTACTGTGGAGCTTGGAGAGGTGGATCCGGTTACAAAAGAAATGGAGCCAAAGTTCCTGCTTCTTCATCAATACCTCACGGGTCCCCAACACTGGCTGAGCAGATGAGAGATGGGTCTGCGTCTACTGAGTAGGAAGGACTCTTCTCCCCCAGTTACGGTCCCTAGGTTCCTCTCTTTCTTTTTCAATTTTCCCTAGGCTGCCTCTGTACTTCATATCTGGAGTCTGGGACTATGAGAGAAAGGCCCTACCATACTGAGGATGGTGGGAAGCTTTCACAGAGAGGAGCTGTGGAAATGCTGAATCCAGTACTGTGGTCATCAGAGAGTTACTGACAGGGGCAGAGGGGTCACTGAATTCAAGGTGATCTTGAGCAGAGCTGAGGAAGGAGCATGTTGCACTGGACAAGCAGATATGTGGGGATGGGGTTGGGAGAAGGGCATGGACTCAAAGGTTATGAGTTACCAGTGCTTTCACACTTTCAGGGGCAAAGGAGTTAATGGTGGTTGCATGCCAGATACTGACAAGTGACCAAACAACCCCATCATCTGGAAATTTCACAGGGGGTGGGGTGTGGTGAGGGGATTGGGTAGGGGAGGAATAACAAAAATGTACAGAGCAGCTACTACATACTCACGCCAGAGTGCTCACACCAGGCTGGGAGCGTCTGGGCAGAGCACCAAACATGAGCAAAAGCCCCCACCCTGGGTCTGCATCTTGAATATCCTTTTCAAGATGCTCAGATCTTCCCTGTGATGAAGGCTGTGTTTGAAATGCTAATGAGAGAGGGACAATAGGGGGAGGGCAAAGGAGGCTGCTGAAGAACAGTGAGAATGATCTCCCACTGGCACATAGTAGGCATGCACTACACATTTGTTGAATGAAAGAATGAATGTTCTAGCTGAGTGCATTTCACATTATGGATACTCAACAAATAATTGTTGAATTAATATTGACTTGAGAGGCTAGGATAGAGAAAAGAGGAGAGTATGAAGTTAAAGGTCATAGAATGGAGTCTTCTGTGAAAGAACAGCCTTTGAGTCTCAAAAGAACCAGCCATGGATGGAAGGTGCATAGGGGGAAGCAAAGACTAGGAGTGATCGGTCTCAAGGATTGCAGGACCCCCATCTACAAAAGCTGGGCCAAGTTTCCAGACAGAGAAAAGGGACAATAAGATAGCAGTGAGGAGACTCTACCTATGAGGTGATGGGGCTTTCTGTAGGAGTTACAATCAGCACCAGAGTCTCAAAAGAACTTGGGGGCTGCCATGTCTGAGCTGATGGACAGAAACTGGGGCCAGAGGGTTTCTGGGTTTAAGGTGGGCAGAATCCTGAAGAGAATGAAGATTCTTCCAGAAGGCAGGCAGAGAAGTGCTGGACAGAAGGACTCTAGTGACCAGAGAATATGAAGGTCTGGAACTAAGGAACCCCTACGTAGGACATTTCCCACAACACTCAAAGGCAAATTCTATTTACACCTTGTACCTGAGTGGGGATTATCCCTTGATCATGTCACAGGGTTTTGGCTGTCCAATGTCTGTGACTGTGAAGCAAGGGAGAGGATGGGGAAGAGGACTATATGCTTTAGGCACATGTGCTATGGCCCTAGCACATGCTACGGTCCTAGTCCTTAGGTCCTAGGTATAGTGTCACAGTCAGCCAAGCAAGTAGGATCTGAACCTGATGTGTTGTTATATGCAATGCCTTCTTTCAGAAGTCTGTGTTTTGGGCATTCTCCAGTAAAGGCCTTACAGGGGGCAGCCCAGAGAGTTGTCAGGATACAGCTGAGGGAGGCCTAGCCCTATCCATCCACCCCTTGGATATCCCAGCCTTGGCCAGGAAGTCCAATCTGCAGTTACATTCTAAGGGCCCCCATACTCCCTCACCTGTTCTTCCTCAGACCTGCAAGGCAGCTCCCCTCATGCACTCACCTGCGGGCTGTCCTGGTAGGGTGGGGGAGGGACATTCTGCGTGGCCATCATCGTCAGAGCTGGGGCTGGGGAGGCATGTTGCATCATGGGATTGATTCACATGGAGGATCTGTGGGCAGGAGAAAGGGGGCCACACCATTAATATCACTGAGCACAGGGAACCCCAGGGGACCAGCCAGCTCCACAGTTTTTCAGGCTGTGCCACCTGGACTGACTGGATACAGCAAGGGCTGGGAGTCCTTCAGGAAAACAAATGAGAGCTAATGGGGGAAGCTTGGGTAGAGAGGGCTTGCTATGCTATTTTGACTTGAAAGAAACACTATTCAAGTCACATGTGAAACAACCTGTACACTCTCAGTGATGCTTTGTTCAGTATCAGCTCTTGCCTGGTATATGTGTGTGTAGGGACAGGGGCAGGAGAGGGAGGGTGGCTTGGCTGGTGGCAACACAGAAAGACTGGAGGTCATTTGGACACCCCTTTTCTCTGGCCAAGAGTACCCTAAGCCTCTTCAAGTCCACACAAGAGAAGGGCACTTCTTGCCCCACCTTCCCTTGGCTTTCTGGACTACCCAAGAGCATTCACATTGGGGTAGAAGGCCAAAGTGCTCCAATTCCCACCTCCCTGGCCCCAGGATCTCCTGGCTCCAGGATCTCTTGGTAAAAAGAGATGTAGGGCATTGTGCCCTCCTCAGATAAACTCACCCCTGTAGAGTAAGATCTGACTCATAGTGACCCCTCCTTGGGTTTCGGAGGCAGTATCACTACAGAAGTAGATTGCCCAGTCTTCCTTCCAAGGAGTGGCTGGTGGGTTTGAACCGCCTGCCTTCTGGTTAGCAGTCAAGTGCTTTAGGCACTATGCCACCAGAGTTTCCCCCTCCTCAGATAGGAGAATGGAACTAGTGGCTCAAGGGTGACCACTTGGAGGTCTTTGGAGAAGGAAAGAGGCAGAGAAACATTGGAGAGCCAGGGACTAAACTCCGGTCACCTCCCAGGCTTTTCTAGGTATGTCTTGTGACTGTGAGCATACAGGCACATTTTCTTAAGGAAGACTTGCCTTAATGTTGGTTAATTATGCTGTTGTTATTGCTGTGTACTGTCAAGTCCATTCTGATTCATAGGGACCCTATAAGAGAGGGTAGAACTGCCCCATAGTGGTTCCTAGCCTGTCATCTTTTACAAGAGCAGAACATCAGGCTTTTCTCCTGTGGAGCTCTTGGTGGAGTCAAACAGCTGATCTTTTGTAAACAGACAAGAGCTTAACCATTGTGCAATCCTCTTTCAGCCTGATGCTTCCACCCCATAGTCTTCCAAAATCTTCACATATCTGAACTCTGCAGGAATTTGAGTGTGTTTTGGAGCTGTTATTCAGTAAAGGGGTAGGTCTCCAGAGCCCTATGTGTGTGTGTGTGAGAGAGAGTGTGTGTATGTGTGAGTGTGTGAGCTTTTTGTTCTCTTGGTAATTGTCACAGGCATTTGGGTCTAGATGAGATGTCAAAGCCAAGTGGTCCACCTTCCCCCTTTTACAGAGAAGGAAGCAGAAGCCAGGAGAAGTGATGTGTGGGGTACTAGTGGAGAAGAGATGGAACCCAAATCTCCAGATTCCCAGTTCTCAGGCTGCTTCACTGTACCACACTCCCACCCCTTCCTCCATCACCTGTAAGTGAGCTGTCCCCACTGGACCTCAAGTTTCCTTGAGCCAGAGTGTGGGGCTGTAAGTAGAGACAACCTGGCAGTGCCACCCAAGGAAACAGAATGCCCAGAGAGCTATTTGTTACAGTAGATAGTCTGAAATATTTACAGCTGGAAATGCTAGCCTAGTTGCCTGATGCAGGTGTACCCATCTGTGGGCCATAGAGACTCCTAAGAAACCCTGTGAGGTGTACAATCTGTCTTTCTGTCCTTCCATCTTGGGTGGATACAGCAAGGCTGGGAGTCCTTCAGGAAAACAAATGAGAGCTAATGGGAGAGGCCTGGGTAGAGAAGGCTTGCTGTGCTATTTTGACTTGAAAGAAAGAAGGTAATGAGCACAGCACTCAGACCCTCCCTCTCCTCTCCCTATAGGTTACTCTGGAGCCCCATCCTCTTTCAGCCTGATGCCCCCACCCCATAGTCTTCCAAAATGTTCACACATCTGAACTTTGCAGAAATTTGAGGTGTTTTGGAGCTGTCATTAAGTAAAGGGGTAGGTCTCCAGGGCCCTACATGGGTGGTATGTATGTGTGTACTCATTGTTCTTGTTTAGGAATCACAGGGGGATCAGCTCTGAAGTACCAAGGATGCTTTGACCTTAACTGCACATGGGAGAGGCCTGGAAATTCTTATATTCATTCAACAGATGTTTATCACATAGCACCGATGAGCACAGAACTAGGGGATGTGAGAGGCTAGATGACATGAGGCAAAGTCTTCTCTCTTAATAGAGGCAGGTGATAGTAAAGCAGGAAAGAGGATGGTACAAGTAGAGATTTTGCAGGGAGTGACGACTTTTCCTGTGCTAAAAACTCAGCAACTGTAGAATAATTTTTATTGGTCTTGCTGCATTCTATATCCATCCACCCAGGCCTTATGTTTGAAGATGGGCCACCAGGGTATCTTTCTAACAAGAGCAGTCAGGGTCTCCCCCATCGCACACACACTAGGCACTACAGATCTAGATTTGCTTTGCAAAGGGCCTAGAAGGGAGTTGTGCAGAAGAGTTTATTTCTTTAGGCCAGGGAATAGATGCCTGTTTCCACGGCTGCATCTTTGGGTGGTGGTAAGCATCAAGAGAGGCAAAAGCAGAGTGGAGAGGGTTCAGGGGGTGGGGTGGGGAGGGGAATGAGGAAACAGACTCCTTGAGATATCAGAAAGAACCTCCCAGTATGAAGACTTCTGTGATTTAAAAATGGGTATGTAATCTCTCTTTTGAATTCTGAGGAGTAAAGGAAATAGGGATATTTTAGGAGTGTGTCAGGCTCCCTGAGTGGGGCCCAAGGATCCTGAAGCCAGGGCTATATCTCTTCCCTGGAAACATGGATCTTAGATGATGTTGTTATTGTTATGTACCGTCGAGTTGGCCCCAAATCATAGCAACCCCTCTTTGGGTTTCTGAGGCAGTATCACTATGGAAATAGATTGCCCAACCTTCCTTCTGAGAAGTGGCTGGTGGGTTTGAACCGCCAGCCTTCTGTTTAGCAGTCAAGTGCCTTAGGCACTATGCTACCAGAGTATTCATTGGAAAAAAGTGGAAAGCTGTAGTGCCAGTAGTCTCCAAAAGAGGGAGCCTGGGGACAAAGTCTGGGGTGGAACCTCGGTCTAAAGAGGTTTTTTTCCCCTCTTAGGGGCAGCTAGCTCCCTTTTGCCAAACCTCAGGTGTGAATCTTTGGTAATCTTATTACATGGATGGAGAAAATCATACTGAAGGCAAAACAAAAGAAGCACAATGAGGAGAATTTGAACTAAACAGAGGAGTCTTTTCTCTGCATTCTTTTGTTCACTGTCTATTGAGAGGTAAAATTATTTTAGAGTCCCTATCCCTAGAAAAGGAGCTCTGGTAGCATAGTGCATAAGGCATTTTGACTGCTAAACAGAAGGCAGGCGGTCAAACCCACCAGTCACTCCTCGGAAGGAAGATGGGGCAATCTACTTCCGCAGTGATACTGCCTCAGAAACCCAAGGAGGGGTTGCTATGAGTTGGGTCCAACTCCACGGCACACAACAACAACAACAACAACAACAATCCCTAGAAAGGGAGCTCTGATGGCATAGTGCCAAAGGCATTTGACCTCCAGAAGGCTAGTTCAAACTCACCAGCTACTCCTCAGAAGGAAGATTGGGCAATCTACTTCTGTAAAGATACCACCTCAGAAACCCAAGGGGGGTCACTGTGAGTCAGGATCTACTCAACGGCAGTTGAGTTTGATTTTTGGTTTATCCCTAGAAATAAGGAGTTCTGGTGGTGTAGTGGTTAAGCATTTGGCTGCTAACCAAAAGTTCAGGATTTTGAACCCACCAGCCGCTCTGGTAGCATAGTGCCTAAGGCACTTGACTGCTCACCAGAAGGCTGGTGGTTCAAACCCACCAGCCACTCCTCGGAAGGAAGGTTGGGCAATCCTACTTCCGTAGTGATACTGCCTCGGAAACCCAAGGAGGGGTTGCTATGAGTCGGGGCAGACTCTATGGCAAACAACAACAACAACAACAACAAGCTGCTCTGTAGGAGAGAAATGAGGCAATCTGCTTCCACAAAGATTTACAGCCTTGGAAACCATATGAGGGCATTTCTACTCTGCCCTATAAGGTCACTATGATTCGGCACTGACTAGATGGCAGTGGCCTTTTTATCCCTAGGAATATTTGCAAGAGCATTAGAGCTGTCCTGTCTGGGAGTGAGGAGAGAAGATCTGCATACAGAGACAACCACAGATAAGGCTGAGGGAAGATTCTTCAGTCCTGAGCCCTGCCCTGGGCCCAGACTCAGAGTGGGCTGGGCAAGACAGCCTTTCCAGAGGACAAAGGAACAAATTTCTGAAGACCCAGATGGTCCTTCCTTCTGCTCCTCCCCCCTCCATAGGTCACCATAGGCCAGTAGGCCACAGCCCCATTGCCCCCTGGGGGTTCCTGTGAGAGAACAGGAGGCCTTTTCATCAGAGCTTAAATTCCCCTCTCTGCTCACTCAGGCACAGATGCTTCTGGCAACTTGACACTCAGAGGGGCTCAGCTGCCTTCAGACCTTGTGTCCACCTCAGGGACACTCCTTGATTCTTCCTACCCTCCACCCGTACATTTCCTCTTCACGACATCTGGCTTTCCCCACATCCTTGGAAACCTCACCAGCTAGGCTCATTCTGAGGGCCATGTGGAGCCATCCTGGAGAAGAATTTTGGGATGGACCCATCATGCAAATTACAGCTGGGGAGGGGGACTCCTGGAGCAGTAGTTGGAGATGCTAACCCTTTCTGGGAAAATCTTGGCTTTTTACACTTTCTTTGGGAGCAGGGAGCTCCAGTAAACCCAGCTCAGGCCTTCTGAGGCTTTGTTGTTGGCTCTGCAGCACTGCTACGCCCTGTCCAGAGGCCTCGAGCTCTGTTACCAGACACCAGGGCACTTATAGGAGCACAGCCAAGACAG